GTAGTGACCTGCAGGCAATGATATTAAGAGTTGGAAGGGTTTTCACCTGAACTTCTAATGGAGCGATAAATCACTCCTAAAGTTGCACTTAGAGTAATAATTACAAAGACGAGTGAGCTAGTTAGTGTCTTTTTAGCTTTAGTGATTTATGTTATATGTATAGTTTACAAATGTTTAATAAAGCACACATAACTAGCCTGACAGAGGGTTAAAAAAAAAAAAAAAAAGAAAAAAAAAAAAAGAAAGAAGGCAATAAGCAAAATATTGAATTCAAGTAGATAATAAGTATCTTAGATAATTACAAGAAAATAATTAAGGTTATAAATAAATAAGTCCTTTAAATAGTCAAGAAGAAGAAGAATATTTTAGAAAAATTGATTCCTAATGAGAAAAGATTTCTAATAAAATTTTTTTTGAAAAATATAAAACACTTTTATTTTTTTTTTCTTTTCATGTATATACATTTGTACATTTTTAGATATTTCTTTTTTTTTTATTTTTCTTTTTTTCTATTGTAGTTTCTCAAAATCAATTTTTTGAAGAATAATAGATAATAACTTGTTGACAATGATGGATAAGTTAGAAGAATATTTATTCAAAACTTATCCTGAAATGAAATATTATTTCCAAGATCATATTTAGAAGCTTAAGCTCATTTGAGAATTAAAAACCATTGACAAGTGAATCAGTACAAGATTTAATTTAACTCTGATACAATTATCCTATATATTTTTATCAGTTTTTATATTAATTAATAAACATTTAATACTAGCCTGACTATGAATAGTTAAAATATATATATATATATAGTATATATCAATGATTTGTTTATATCAAATTATATAGTAAAAATATATTAACAATTTAATTATACTAAATTATATAGTAGGAATATTGAATTACTGTATATAGTAAAAATACTATTAATTTACTAAATTATTTGCTTTTTGACAAAATATTACACGAGAGACATTAAGTTAAATAATTATTTTTTAACTAGTGTCTCATCATACTTTTAAGTAGTACAATCCTTTAACTAATAATACACAAAGACGAGTTAGTCATCAATATAATGTTGAAAAATTATAAGATTAAAAAAAAAAATTAAATTTTAAAATTTAAAACTATTTAATTTTATCTACAAATTTTTAAATTGAATTATATTTGTTAATTGGATTATTTTATTTCAAAAGATCAAAACATTATTTTATTCCTTGTTCGAAAAGTTTTGCGTTCCAGAGATATCTGAAATCACAAATAAACGACACTACGGTATCATTCTTAACGTCGATGTAGAATCGAATATAAGTATTTAATAACGAAAGGTAGAGACTTAATTCCTCAATTGATGACCGTTTAATGTATAATTTAACAATTTCCAAATTTTCTACTAAGAGAAGGACCAATTTCAGGAATCATGTCTGATGTTAGCATAGAGCGGCCTAATTTTTCAAATGCAACACGCGAACATTCTCGGATAATGGTACACCCAGCGTAGCTGGCCAACATTGGGATATCAGAGGATGAGATCGTGTTATCGTGTCTTTTAATTTTAATATATAGCTTTTAACTCTATCAAGGCACTAAAATTATTATTAAGAAGGATAACGAGAGTCCACATACCGCCAGAGTTTTTTTTGGTATGCGTCACCCCATGCCAGAAAGGTAGCAATAAGTCCAGTAAGAATATCACCTTGTCCTCCACATCGTTTGAGACCTCCCTCATTATCAACCACAAATACTGTATTTTCATTAATATAGAAGTTAGAATTGTGATTAAAAACGATTCCTCACCATTATTTCCGTTTGAAATCAAGTCGTTTCTGCCTTTTTGAACAATGGTAATTCCGCCAAAGGCTTGACTTAATTTCTGGGCCATTTCATCTTTATGATTATCTTCGAAACTAATGTTCTGTTTGGGATGATAATGTAAAATCGGAAATGACGTGAATCACTTAGGTGATGCTGATTACCATTTTTTCACAAAGTCGTCGGAATTCGTTCACATTTGGTGTTAGAATCGCTTTAGAATAATTTTTAATGATATCGGGATTATTTTGAATGAGAAACAGTCCATCCTAATCAGAAATAATTATCAATTAGTGATCCTTGCAGAATTTCAAATCCAATATTTCCTTACAGCATCAATGACAATGGGCAGTTCATTTTCTTTGGCCTTTCGTATAATTCCTTCGGCGCATTTCAACATCATTGTGTCTCTTGATAATCCTGGACCCAAAACCAATACATGTATGCGTGGTAAAAGTGTGGCAACTTTATTTATAACTTCCTCAGAACTCAATTCAGGATTTTTTCTAATGTTATTTGACAAAAAGAAATTAGTTATTCTCGTCGAGACAAAAAAATGAACGAATCTTCTCTGACCCCGATTTTCGCATGTAAGGATACACCATTAAATCTACAAGGTCATTAGAAGTTAGGATTTTCGTCTATGCAAACTACCCATTGTAGAAAGGCAAACATATACCTGGTGAATAGCTCTGAATATGAAAAGACATCGTTATTACGTTGAAAAAAAGTGTTGGGTGCATTGCATCAGAATTAGAACGGGTAGCCTACTTTTATAGCTACGGCCGCTGTCGGTTCACAAACAATGTGAGCCATATCAGCTCCCTTTAATGAGATCAGAAAAATCAACAATTTATTCTAGAATTTATCAGAAAAATAGTTATAAATAACTCACAAGTTTTAACGCGGATATTGCACTAAAGTACGGAGCCCCAGTATATCTATGATTCAGGCAATTATTTAAAAAAAATTTGAGGGCATATGATGTCTTTCAGAAAGCTGTGTCCACTTACTCCTCTGATCCTCCAACAATACCAACTCGACCTGAAAAGGTACAGGATTAAATAACTAAAAACAATGTAATTCATTGTTTCATAGTAGTACCTGCTTGGCCTTTGTGAAATTCATGAGAAAGAGGAGGAATAAGTTGAAGAATAGTATCCAGAGAAGGTCTTGTCAATGTCATTCTAGATATACAACATAAATAATTTAATAACATTCCTGCAAAAAACATGCATCTGTTGTTACATAAAAGGTTAGGTGACAAGAGCTCGTATAATCACAGCATTATGTCATAGTTGTGATTATAGCGAAAATTAATATATGCATAAATAACAGCAAAGATTTCTTTCACTAATTAAATAAGAAAACCTTGCACAGGCAAAGTTGCGATGTCTCAAGTTAGCGATAACGATAGTGATTTCGTTCATCAACTTGCCATAGACTTGTCCCGAGCCTTGAATCTTTTGAATCCAAACGATCTACTGGCAAAAACGGTCATAAAAATTGCTAAGGATCACAAAAATGTTGACACCTTCATAAAAGGTGTGTTCAATTTCTAACTTTAATCAAATCCACTTAGATTTATTATATTTTTATTTTATTTTATTTATTTTTATTAGCTTGCCAGGGTTTTGGAAGATTTAAAGATGAATTTCTGGCGGATCTATATACGACGATCAGAAAGCGAATAAAGGAAGAGTCTGCAGATTTGAATTCACAAAAGGCTGATTCTTCTACTCTAAATGATTCTACCGTCCTTGGAGAGGTACTGACTTCGTCCAATTCTTCTGTTGGTGGTTTGATCCGAGTTCCTGGAAAATTAGCAGCTTCCGAAGAGGTACACAATGAAATTTGAATTATTATTTCTTTTTTTTTTTTTTTTAATCAATTACTCAACATATTTTATTCAATTAACAGAATCGTCATGTTTTTAAAACTCCAGCTCCAAAGACTTCACTTTTAGGATTAGACAGAATTGCTGAGGAAAAGAAGCGTATAGCCAGAAAAGCTCAAGAGGAAGCACGACATTCAACGAAACGTATAAATATTGGTCTTTCATCAGATTGGGACGATGAAGGTTCTTAGATCAAGTCAAATTTTCACGCCGAATGCCCCATACCTTTATAACTTTTTCTTTTCCGCTTATTTTGCCTAGTCTTTTTCGAGATTCATCTGATATGCTGCTAGAATACGACGATGCGCTTATCCTCTTTCGATATTGCAGTTCTAAATTCCATGGTGACCTCAGGATATGATGTTATTTGAATATTCCAACTGATGGTGTCAGTGATCTTGACGGTTATTTTTTTCTATCCATCTATTTAGTTTTGGTCAGTTCTTTTTGTCTGGATTTTAATAAATTTGTCTAAATAGGTTGTGGCAAATCAATTGGAATCTTCAAATGATTATCATATATCTGTCGGAGGATAATGGATGCATCGTTGTATTCTCGATGAATTCTGAGAAGACGAAAATAAGTCGGAAAATGGAAGCTATAAAAGTATGGGCAGGCGTGTTCTATATATGTGAGTTCTTAGTTCAGCTTATAACTTCATATTTTATAGAGGGGGAATTGTATAAAAATGAAGATGAAGGCGATATTCATAGCAAGAATGACAGGGATAAGGGCTCTATAGCTAAAGACGAACGGCGTGGGAAAGGGTTTAATCGCCTTCGTCGTGACACTTCGGATTCAAACCGTCGTTCGCCTTCTATCGTTCGAGATGATTCTGGAAAACGCTCTCCTTCAGTACCATCCAGACGAGATGACCGAGATAGTTCAAGTAGGAGTAGTTCAAGTCGAAGATCCTCGTCTCTGTCATCACGAAGAGATAGTTCAACTTCTCTAAGTTCTTTGCGTGATTCGGAGAAGGGTTCTCCACGCATAAGCCGAAGTGATTGGGATTCTACGCCCACAAGAAGTGCACCAAGATTTACCGGGGGAGGTTTAACTCCACGAAGAGGTGCTTTCTTTATTTTATTATCCAAATTTCCGCTTGTTCGATATTTTCGAATTTAACTTAAAGATTACGAATATTTGGCATTTTCAGAATATCAACCAATGAGAGATTTTCCGACTCCACGACTTGCTTCATTCGATTACGATGAGATGGAATACGCTTATCATCAAGACGATAATGACATCGTCGATGATCCCGACAAATTCCAATGGGAGGAGCATCAACGTCAGTTAGATCGGGAATGGTATAACATTGAAGAGACATCTAATGTACCCATAGTTTACTTATATATTATCTTATTGTGATCTTATTATTCGAAGTTTTGACATCATCAATGCTTTTTAGGCTATGGATGATACTCATAATCCCTTTGCGGACTATTCAGATTATGTACAAAAAAAAGAAGAAGAACTTGCTCAGAGACAACTCGTATGGGCAATTTTATTGTTATTCTCACATTATTGTTACTATTTATACGCGTGCTGATACGACTCCTAATATTATTTAGAAAAAATTGTCAGCGAGACAAGAACAATATAACAAAGATAATGAACTTTGGGAAACCAATCGTATGCTTACCTCTGGCGTCGTTCAAAGAAGAGAGATGGATTTGGATTTTGAAGATGATTCAGAGGTAACCATTATAAATAATAAAACGATACCTTCGTGGAAGTAATTATTGACTTATTTATAACATTAGACCCGAGTGCATTTACTGGTACACGATATCAAGCCCCCATTTCTTGATGGGCGTATGGTCTTCACCAAACAACTTGAAGCCGTGCAATCTGTAAAGGATCCCACATCAGATTTATCGGTGTTTTCTAGAAAAGGAAGTCAATTGGTAAAAGAAAAGCGAGAGCAAATGGAGCGTCAAAAGGTATTCATCAGTTGTGTGACGCAATGTATATTGATATACTTGATAAGCAAATATTGAAATTAACCTTTTCTCAACAGGCTGCCAAAAATGTTGTAGATATTGCAGGCACTTCACTAGGCAACCTCATGGGAATTAAGGCCACAGATGACAACTCAGCAGGTAATTTTTTTGTGCTTTATGATTGACACGCAATAACGGACAGATAACCAATTTCAACTTTTATATATTAGCGCCCATCACCAATAAAACAGGTGAAATTGAAGATCCAAAAGGAGAATCTCAATTTGCGTCACATTTAAAGGCATCCGAAGCGGCAAGCTCCTTTTCAAGGTCCAAGACCCTCCGTGAACAACGAGAGTTTTTACCAGCTTTTGCAGTTAGGGAGGAATTTTTGAGGATAGTAAGAGACAATCAAGGTAATCTAAATTGGTTATTTTCATTTTAATTTTCTTTTATAATAACAAAATTTATATTTAGTTGTCGTGATTGTCGGAGAGACGGGCTCAGGAAAGACTACCCAATTAACACAGTACCTTCATGAAGACGGGTATAGCAAACACGGCATAATTGGATGTACACAACCTCGTCGTGTAGCCGCTATGTCCGTTGCTAAGCGTGTTAGCGAAGAAATGGAGGTGGGTTTTAATTAAATATTGCCTTTTTTATACACACGTAAGAATTTCTGATGAATTTATATGTAGTGCAAACTGGGAACCACTGTTGGATATGTCATTCGATTTGAGGATTGTACGTCGGAAAGTACTGTGATCAAATGTGAGTGAATTAACTCTAGCCCATATTTTCTTTAGTGGAAATATTAATTTGTATTATATTTCAATCCTTTTTTGCAGATATGACTGATGGTGTTATTGTGCGTGAATCGCTCAAAGAGCCTGATCTAGATAATTACAGTGTTATCATAATGGACGAGGCACACGAACGTTCATTGCAGACAGACGTTTTAATGGGTCTACTTAAACAAGGTAAGATGAAGTTAATTTGATTTTTTAATGTCACTCGTCTTTCTAACAAATATTACGTACGTAGTCCTTACTCGAAGACGTGATATCAAATTAATTGTTACTTCTGCAACTATGAATTCCGAAAAGGTATTTTTTAATTTTTATTGTATAATTAATTTTATGCTAATAACTTATTCACTTTTTTTTTTTTTAGTTCTCCGCGTTTTTTGGAAATTGTCCGACTTTCACAATACCAGGACGTACTTTTCCAGTGGATATTATGTTTAGTAAAACTCCCTGTGAAGATTATGTGGATAGCGCAGTAAAACAAGTTCTGGCTATTCATTTGGGACATCCTTCTGGTGATATTTTGGTCTTTATGACTGGTCAGGAAGATATAGAAATAACTTGTCAAGTGATTGCAGGTTAATAGATTTGTTTTATTTCCAATTTTTATGTATGTAGCCTATTGTTTTTTAAATGAAATTTAAATTTTATAGAACGTCTGCAGCAATTAGATAATCCACCTGAATTGGCTATTCTTCCTATATATTCCCAATTGCCGGCTGACTTACAAGCAAAAATCTTCGAGAAGGCTCCTGATAATGCGAGAAAAGTAATTGTTGCGACAAATATCGCAGAAACTTCGTTGACTGGTAAAGTATCAATTTATTTACTCCTTACTCGCACATACAGTATATATATTCACGGTGGTGCTAAGTATTTGTGCATTTTGATGTATAGTTGATGGTATAATGTATGTTGTCGACACGGGATTCAATAAACTCAAAGTTTTCAACCCCAAGATTGGTATGGATTCCTTGCAAATTACACCAATTAGTCAGGCCAATGCAAACCAAAGATCGGGTCGTGCTGGGCGTACAGGTGCAGGAACTTGTTATCGTCTATATACTGAACAGGCTTTTCATCATGAAATGTTTATGAACACAATACCCGAAATTCAGCGTACAAATCTTGCAATGGTTGTACTTTTGCTCAAGTCCTTGGGTGTAAAAAATTTGCTTGATTTTGATTTCATGGACCCTCCACCACAAGTAAGAGCTGGTGAAATTTGATGTGATACCTCTTTTTTATTTAATTTCTGAATCGATTGATCATCATTTTCGTAGGACAACATCTTAAACTCAATGTACCAATTATGGATTTTGGGGGCATTGGATAACACTGGAGAAATAACGTCGCTTGGTCGTAGAATGGTTGAATTTCCTTTGGATCCCTCATTGTCTAAAATGTTACTAGTATCAGAAGAGTTGGGTTGTACAGCGGAGATTCTGGTACGTTTTTGATTTAATCTATATTCCAATAAGATTGAGTACGACAAACTTTTGCCATAATAGTTTCATATTGCATGTATGTAGACTATCGTCTCTATGCTTTCGGTTCCTTCGGTATTTTATAGACCAAAAGAGCGTATGGAACAGAGTGATGCAGCTAGAGAAAAATTTTTTGTGCCCGAAAGCGACCATTTGACCCTTTTACATGTGTATACTCAGTGGATGTCACATGGGTAATGATTGATACGTGCTTAAACTTCTTTTCAATTCATTCGTCATATTATCCGATTATTTAATTAATTAATGGTTTATTGTTTATTTAGTTTTCGTGATGATTGGTGTGTTAAACATTTTATCCATGCTAAAGCAATGAGGAAAGCGCAAGAAGTGCGCACTCAATTGATGGATATAATGAAGGCCGAGAAGATGGCCGTTGTATCGTGTGGAACAGATTGGGATGTTGTTCGAAAATGTATTTGTTCAGCATATTTTCACCAAGCTGCGAGAGTCAAAGGAATAGGGGAATATGTTAATTGTCGTACGGGAATGCCATGTCACCTTCATCCAACAAGTGCATTATATGGCCTTGGCTATACACCCGACTACATTGTTTACCATGAGCTAGTGATGACCTCGAAGGAATACATGCAATGTGTTACCGCTGTCGATCCTTATTGGCTTGCAGAAATGGGGTAAGTGGATTGAGATTTTGAATTCGTCGAGATTTTAATTTAATGGTTTCTTATATATTTATTAATGCTTATGTTTATAATTTTTAATACAGTCCTATGTTTTATTCGGTTAAAGAGAAAAATTTTACACAAAAAGTGAGGCAGTTCGCTTTATCTTTTATATTCTTATGTTTAAATAATCTTGCGTTTTATTGAATCTTTTGTATTCTTATTACAGGAAAAGCGAGCTGCCAATAGAGCAGAGATGGCCAAGATGACAATGGAGATGCAACTAAAGACAGCTCGTGAGAAGGAAGAGGCGGAAGCCAAGGAACTTCACCGTCAATCAACTTCAATTCCAAAAAGCTCTCGAATTGTAATCCCCGGTAAACGAGGAACGGGAATACCTATAAAAAGACGACGTCTGGGCATTTAAGACGATTAGAATCTATATTGGACCCATTAATATTTCCGAACTCGATCTTTCTAAAAAATGTTGGTATTTTATTTACTGTAGATATGTATAGACTCTAAAAAATTAAAGTTTGCGTATAATAATTTCAAGATGACAGTAAAAAAATTTTTTTCTGGATCGGTCGTGATCGAAAATATATATTTATTATTTACAGTAATTGCAACAAAAAAATTATATTACTAATATAATAGTGTCAATGAAATAATTTTTTTTAATTATTAAAATCATTCCATCTAATTACAAATTAACCTTATTTATTTAAAATTAATGAATTTAAATGAATATTTAAAATTGATTTTACTTAAGATAATGATATATATTTTTTAATTTACAATTATGCTATTATGGTATGTTATATCTTTATTGAAATATTAAATAAATATTACAATATTGCATAGATTATTCATATAACAGTTAATTAATTGTTGTACATTATTAGTTAATAAGTATACTACTTGAAAGATATGAAAAGTTTATTAAACTAATTGAAATATACATATAATTAAAATTATTTTACTATTAATTCAATTTAATTTAATTAATTGAATCATATAACTCAATTAATTTAATTATATAACTTAATTATTTATATTAAATTCTATTAAAATTTTATAAGTTTTTATCATACTATATATACAGTTTGAATTAAAATAAAACAAAGTTTAAACTAAATACTTTTAATTAAATTTAAAAAACAATATTTTGTTTATTTCTTTGATTTTTTTTTTTTTTTAAAAATGGTAACTTAATTTTGTTTTATTGAATTTTCAAGAGTTTAAAGCAAAATTTGTATATACAAGAAAGTATAATAATCAATAAAAACATTCTTAGGATTTTACAAAGTTACTAATATTATATGTTACTACTATTATTTTAATTCCATAAACTAATTCCTCTCTAAAAGTTTTTTTAGTCAAGGTTGTATTGCCTGTTTCTCAATTACTTTCATTAACTTTATATTATAAAATCTTAATTGTTCTATTTATTAGATGGCTTGTTATCAAGGAGAATTTACTTAGTTCAATATAATTTATATATCAGAAAAAAAGATTTATAGACTCTCCTAAGTTTTCCTAATGAATATACTAGAAAAGATATGTTGTTTCAAAAAAAAAATCTTATCATTTACATCTATTAAAAAAATCCAACTTTATCATAAAAATTATTAAGTTAAATCTTTACTTATTTGATGAAAATGATAAAAAACCTATCTGATAATTGAAGGAAGGTAAATAACTATAATTTTAAAAACAGTTATAGTATTTTATCTATTGTATTTTAGATATTCTTTTTTTATAGTACCCAGGGTATGTTGGAGAGGCTATATTGTATACATAATTTTTGATCTAATTATATAAGTTATGAATGGCATTATATTTCTCTATTGTTTTGCAAAGGTTTTGTAGTTTTTCTATTTCTTTTGAAATTTTTATTTTCTTAAGAAGTTTCTTTAATTGCAAGGCTTTTCTATATTTAACGAATTCAAGATTGGTTCTATCATTTCTTTCTTTATATAATATGACCTTCTTAATTTTAAGCTTGTCAAAAATTGCTTTACACATCTATTCTTCAAAGACTTTTCAAATCTTGTCTACAAGTTTTTTTTTTTTATCTATTTTGAGTTCTTCTTGAAAAAGAGGTTTCAATTTTATCTTGAACTTGTAGTCTAAGTTTTCTCAATAAGCTTGCCACTGTTCTAATGAAGATCCTTTTATATCAATTCTTCTTTTGTTTGTATTTTTTATTTGATAGTTGAACTTCTTGCAAAAAGATTTTTATTTTGAAGAGTAATTATCAGCATAATATGATCACTTCTTATGATTTCTTATATTTCTTGATTATAAAATCGCAATAATGAATATCTTATTAAGCCTTGTGATATCCAAATATAATTAATTTTACTACTACTTATAGTATCCAACTGTGTTAAGGTTTTGTTTTTATCTTTCCATACTGCCTGAATATAAATAAAGTCCTATTTATCTAAAAAGTTGAACAATGGAATTTCAGGATATCAAGAAAATCTGAACTTAACCTTGAAGAATATTGTTCTATTTTCTGATAGATTATAGATAGTATTGAAATTACTTATTACTATTATATGAAAGCTTTGTTTTTGCTTTTTTTTTATAAGACTGATTGACTTCTCTTATATCTTTTTACATCATTATTATTTAAAGAAATATAAACCTATATTATGTAGACTTTTTTCTTTTTCATAAAAAAGTTAGCTGCTATTATATAACCTTCCTCCTCTTCTATCAATGCTATTTTCTTTTTCAAATCTTTCTTCATTAGAAGGCTGACCCCTAATCTAAATAGTATATCTCTATTGATACTATAGGAATACTTATAGGTTTTTTGATTGTCAAAAGCCTATTTTGTATTAGTTTGAATTAACTTGGTTTCGCATATTTCCATTATATCTATTCCTTATTCTTATATCTCTTTGATAAGACTTTGTTAATTTGTCTTGTCTGTTATATCTCTAATATTGTATATATCTATTCTTACCACTCTTTTCTGAATATCTTCTTCTATCCCTTTTGTATTCTTTATTTGCTTGTCTTTATTTTGGTTTCTCAGAAAAGTAATATGCTTATTCTGTGAGAATTTATTTATATTTAGGTCACCATTTTGTTCTATAGCTTCATCTGAATCCATAGTTCATACTTTGTCCTTATTATAAGTCTTTGTTGAGGAAGAACTGGACTCTTTCTCCCCATATCTATCTTGATCAACTGATATAATATTTTAGGAGTGGTCTATTCATCCTGACTCTTCTCTCTTTTGTTAGCTAAATCTTGATTTGTTTTCAAGCTTGGCAATTCTTTCATTTAGCTTTTCCAGATTATAAATATAAGCTTTAATGGATCTTACTTATTCCCAAGCTTGATTCATTATACTATCTTTTATTTTGGTTCTCTAGTAAATTTCTAGAATTTCTTAATAGTTCCCTGTTGCTTCTTATTATTAAATAGTTTAGGGTTCTATGGTGTTTTTATTAATTATTACCATTCTAACCTTGATACTATTTTTTTTTATTAGTTGACTGCTTATATTCAATAGTTGTAGTAACTATCTGATAGTGAATCTAATATGGATTCGATATCCATTTTTACTGTTCTATGGCTCAGCCTTTCTCTTAATTTTTTAATTCTAGATTTATGACCCCTTATAGTTTCTCTTATTGTGGCTTTTGCATTCCAGGATAGTCTTAGTTCTTGTAAAAAAATACAGTATACTACTTGCAAGCTCTTGTCAATATTTCTTTTGTTGCAAAGCCTATTATGGTAAAGTTTTGTTTTTTCAATGTATGAGGGTTTCTTGATATATAACAGGCCTTAGCTTCTGTATCATTAAGTACCTTGGCTATCAAACTTGAGAGTATTCTATTTGTGCCTAAGAATCTAGCTAAATGTTTGTTTTATTCAATAAAGACCTCATATATTTCTTTATCAGTCAGTTCTTCTTTAGTAAAGATTGTTTTTATTATTTCTATTTCAAGTAATGTTATCCATATTTCTTCAGAATTGGTTTTGAAGTGTTTATATCACTTGAGATAGGCCTTTACTCTGATCTTGATTTTTATCTTATAGATATTGATATTTTTAATATCTTCATATCTTTTTAGGTATTCTTTTATGTGACTTCTAGAAAGTTCATGATCCATATCCACTAGACTTATATATTATATGTCTTTGCTTTCTTCTGAATTGTAGGTTTGAAATATCTTTTTATCTATCTTATCTATGTCTGATTGATCCATATGTTTTTCTTTTCCTGATTCTAGTCATTGAAGACTAAAGGCTTCCTCTTTTCTAGTTACTTTTTCTAAGCATTTAAGGAAATCTTTTTCTTTTTTGAAATAAAGAATTGGCCATTAATTACCATTAATAAAACTTTTATAGAGAAAATTTCATTTGTTCCAAGATAGGTTTAAGACATTGTATAAATAGGTTCTAGTTTTTTTTTTTTGAGCTTCCTGAAATGTTTGCTATTATGGCTCTTAATCAATATACTTCTTTTTTATATATATTGTATAGATTTGAAGTAAAATTTTCAACTCTATTTCTTATACTATATAAACTATATTCATTTATATTTTGATCTTTGATCTTTTCTCATAGCATTTTGAATTCTATTTCCTCTTCTATCTCTTCTTGTTTTTGAATATTAGACATTGTAATTTTATTGTCTACTTTGAATATTTTCTAACTGGGTGATGATCTTCATAGGAAGAATTTCTATATCTTTTAGTATATCCTTTTCTTTTTTAATTATTTCAAAAAGTTTATTTTCAATATATAGCTGAAGCAGATCCTCTTTTTTTCCTTTCCCAAATTGCTAGAGATAGATTATATATTGTATTAAGATTAGTTTTTTATGAAATGTCATCTTGTCTACTCCTAAGATACTTGCAATAATACTATCAAATATTATATAAGTTTTTGAGGTTTGAATAGTAGCTTGCTCCTATCTGACTATTTGTTATGTAGCCCATAGATTATTATATTTGTCATGCTTTTTTACAAATCAGATCAAAGTATTAATGATATATATATTTTTTTTTTAAACACTAGCTCATCCTTGCATTGAGGTGAGCGAGATTTATTTCAATAAGCAAAAGATCTAGGGACAACCGGGATGAATAACTACCCGTACTGTCTAAGGATTTACAGATCAACAAATAGTACAAAAAGCTACCTATTTATGTCTCATCCAACCAGGATAAGATAGTTACATGACCATCTAGTGTAGGTATCTACTTACAAAAATAAACCATGAAAAAACAAGGAATATGAAAGTCACACTATGTTAATTTTCTATTCTACACCTTGACACTCTCTAGAGCACGACTATTGGCCGGCCCACTGAGTAGCTTATTACTACTTCAAAAA